ATCTTTGCAATTTAAGCGAGGTGAATTAATTAAATTCAGAAAACGAGGTGGGCAGAAATTGCTTTCAAAGCATGTGCAACGAGTGAAAAAAAAACTGTTCGGGCTCCAGAAAGTTTTTTTGTTCCCACCAGAGTGAAACAATAGAAAATTAAGGGTGCATTCAGACCCCGTGAAAAAAAAACTTTCTGGAGCCCGAAAAGTTTTTTTATCGTAATTTCAGTCAGTGCCCTGTGGTGGCATGCTGCAGCTGAACAGGCGCTCAGGCATAAATCGTGTCACCTAATGGCTGCTGTGAAGGTAGTTCTCCAGCCACGGCTGGGATGGCCATGGCAATTTGAGGATGGGCGCCTTTCAACCACTTTTGGCGAAATCCTAGACGCCTATGCGTCCCAGAACGCATACGGGTGGCACTCCAGCTGCTACAGCCTTTGGGTTGGAGATCAGTTGGTTCGTCGTGATATGGCTTTGCCGGACGTGACAAATGGTTCCATCGGTCTAGTTGTTTGCACCCTCCATACACCTGATGATACGGCTGCTCAGAAAGTTGCCAAGTCTTTGGCTTTGCTGCAGAAGCAGGTGCCAGGAGATGGAATTGGAAAAAAAACTTTTGACACCGAATTGGGAAAAAAACTTTTTACATCCCCCAAAGTTTTTTTTCCAATTCTGAGAGCCCATGGCATTAAGGAAACATTTGGGAGCCAGGGCAACACCGCCTCTCATTGAGCAACATCTCCTCGTGAATTCATGGGGCCCCAAGCCCGGCAGCCAAGAATGTGACGCTTTTGTTTCAAAGAGCGTAGTGACTTTCATGGAAAAAGAACGAAGGCTTGCCACAAAGGCTGGGCCACTGGTTTCCAAGAAAGACCTTCGCCTCCCCCGAAAACGAGCCTTGAGGAGTGACAAAGGCGCAAAGCGCAAATCTTATATTAGAAAAAAGACATGAGCTGACCAAAGCTCCAAATGCTCGATGCCTTGCTCGAAATGGCTCGGCTGCCATCAATTTGGAGGAACCGCCCGAAGATGCTGCCCGTCCTTCCATCTTAGACAAGATGAGCCCTCTGAAAAAGAGGAAGAAGGAGGCAGAGGACTAGTTCGAATGGCTTGCGGTCGAGAAAGAAATGGGACGAGGGCCGAAATCCGTTTTGAATGTAACGAGGCGAGGACTGAAGATTTAATCAGAGGGGAAAAGTAGATTTAAGACGAGGAAACCGTTTTGAATTTAAAGTAAATTTTGCAGATATACTTACATTTATATTTTATACATATATATTATTTTTTTTAAACATATATATATATTATATTATACATATATATATATTATATTTTATATTGTATATATATATATTATATATACACATTATTCATAATAATATGTATATTACATTATATAGAAAATATAATATATTTTTAGATTTTTTTTAATTATATATATATATATTATCTTTTATATTATATTATATATATATATATTATGTTTTATATTATATATATATATGCACATCCCCAAAAAAAACACATTAACCGCATTTAAGCACCACAATTCCCAGAACTTCCCATGGGGAAAAAAACACGCCGAACTTTTTGTTCGCCACAGTTCCTTGGACGCGGCGAGCTGCACCGGTGTTTTCGGCACCTCAGCGGTCAGTTCAAGTGGTGGAGATGCGGTCAGCGATGGAAAAAATCTGGGAAAACATGGGTTAATAGTGGCTAAAGATCTAAAGATCTAGTAAAAATGTGTTAATAAGGCATGGGATTCATATGGAATATCTATATTGATATTTTCAATAATGGGATCTAAGATCTATTAATATCCATTAATATGGAATAGCCTCTGGCAATTCAACATAGCTGAAAGTCACCATGTCTAATAGGTAAATCAGAATTTTTACATTGAACAACATGGGACATCTATACCATAGCATACCATAGCTATGTTGAATTACCGGATGGTATGTGGTCAGCGGGGAAAGACACTTTGTCTCTTCCATCTCTTTTAAGGATTACGAGCTCAAATGATTATTTTATATTTTTTTGATTATTTCTAAGGAGTTATTTGAAACCACGTGGCAGTATTTCTAGATGATTGAGTTATTGGGTTCAGGTTTCTGGCTGGTGGATGGTGGTATGTTGTTGCTTCAGCTCCTGGGCACGGGGAACGGTTGCAGAACGGAAATTCGTATACCCTCTGGTTATGACTAACATAGCCATGGTATAGATGGCCCATAGAAATAGATGGTTTACCTATTAAAAATGGTGATTTTCCAGGGCTATGTTAAATAACCAGATGGTAATGTGTTCTTTTTGTATTTTGAATGGAAAGGAAAGGATATGGCAAACTGAGAGGCTTAGGCATCCATAGAGGCTTGATTTGCCCGTGCCAAGGGGTGTTTCCACTGATAATCATAATTACGTTGGTTCTTCTCATCCACCCGTAACTGTTGTATTTGTTATTTCACTTTCCACCTGCGACGGCAATGACCCAGAACAGAACTCATTATCTTTTCAGAGTGAGGATTTACAGCATAAATTTGCTGACTTCGAAGATATGTATGTGTGGGTGGTTCCTAAAATGGTGGATACCCCAATAGCTGGATGGTTTATACTGGAAAATCCCATTAAAATGGATGAATGGTACCCCTATTTTAGTAACCCCCCATGTAATGTACTTGCATGATCTTGCATTTGTCAATAGTCATCACTACGTCACAACTAATTACATCCTATCAACACAATGGGATGACCGATGCCGGACAGCTAGTAGTACGCTATAATATTGGTACACTTGTACGTGTTCAAGTTGATTGGATTAGCAACTAATGATTTGCGAATATTCACATACAACAGACTAACATTTGCACATCATCATGAGTGTATACAGTACATGATGTCATGGGGGGTTGATGCAGACATATGTAGGTATGCTCACAAGTTTATACATATATATATATATACACGGTTCAACCCACTCAGACCCCGCGAACAGCATCGCTGTGCCTTGGTTATGTAGATTGCTTCTGGTTGCTGGGAAAATCTACAAGACGCCAGCCCACTGGCTCGTTTCGTTCAAAGTGTCCTTGTGTTTTGCAATGTTTTTTCCATATTTTCTGGTATGTTCATGTATTTTCTGGCGTTTCTTGGGTTTCCAGCACTTCCCGGAAAATTGGCCCAGTTCAGGTGAGCAGCGCCTATCACTGGACCACCGAACTCTTTAAGGAGGAATCCAGTGCCTCTTGGCCATGGCAGAAACGCTAAACGTTGGGAAAGGGGGAATGGGGGAATGGGATGATGATTAATTGATTAATAGTTATTATGGATCATTTTTCACCCCCATTCACAATGTTCAGCACCAGAGAGTTAGGGTGATAGTGGGGTGTTGCATTGTTTTAGTGGGTTACCCTTTGGTTATTTAACATAGCCATGGAAAATCACCATTTATAATAGGTAAACCATCTATAAATGGGCCATTTTCCATGGCTATGTTAAATAACCAGAGGGTAACTGGATTGTACTGGATGATACAGGTTTTTTTTCACAGCGAAACCATGAAGGATGAACCGAAAAAAAAAAACTGTTGAGGAAAAGACACCCGAAAGGAGCCTTCAAGCAAAACATCATGGGTTTGCCGAAATGGAAAAACAACGACATCAACAAAATGCTGGGCCGAGCTTGGTGACAGGTAGGTTCATGGATTAAGCCTTTTTGTGGTATACATGGGGAAAACGTGAGTGGTTTCACCAGCAGACCTTAGGATATTCACCAGCAAATATGCGTGGCAAGCACCAAGTGGATAACAAAACACTGTGGATAACAGAGATTAACAGAGAACATCAGAGAACTAAAATTTTTGCCTATGGGTTTTTAACCCTACCCTGGGTGAACAGCAAAATAGTTGGTAAATGCTGGCAAATGATGGTAAATTATGGTAAATTATGGTAAATGATTGTAAATGATTGTATATAAATGGTATTTAAATGGTATATAAATGGTATTTAAATGGTATATAAATGGTATATAAATGGTTCTTCATCCGGTCTATTTATTTCTATTGTATGATAGGTTTTAAATCCATGCCTACATCAGCCGCTGGCCATATCCCGACAATACCCGGAGCCAGGAAGAAAGCCCCGAAGGAAGCAGCGCCTCCTCAGAGGCTGCGGAATTTCCCCGCAGAGATGGCAATGTTGGGTTTTTTAATACATGTTTATAAGTTGTTTTAAGCATGTACCCGATTTGTTTCTGTTTGTTTGGTGATTTTACATGATTTTCGACAGGAATCAAGATGGTGAGCAAATGAGTCCGGCTGAGTCTACATGATAGAATTGTTTGGCGCCTTCACCCGCCCTGACCAGCCTTTCTCACTGTCGATGATGACTTGTGGGACTTGGGGAGAGATGTACTTTACGTTTTGGAATTTGTGGGATGCTGGAATCCATGCAATAATGATGATAATGGTAGAACTTCGAGAATAATTTGGAGGCTGAAAACTACAAAAATCATCAAAGATCCGAAGTGGGCAGTTGCATTTCTGGATGCCCATCATGGTCATGATAAATGTAGCGTTCAAGATGGCCCGGAGGAGGACTGCTGGGAAAAGAATGGCGGCTGCAACTCATGCAACTTTGGCGCCTTGGTATTTTGAAGAGTTTTGATGCGGATTTCAATGGGATATTAATGATATTTTTTGGGCATGTAGTGTGGTTATATATATATATATACATACATATATATATTTATGTGGGTGTGGTACTTCCATGGCTTGACCGTGACGCCATGTCCTTTGAAAGATTCCAATTTTCTTACGCACCTATATGTACAACATATATATATATAATTATAATTATATATATAATTATAATTATATATATATATATAATTATAATTATATATATATTATATGATTTGTTTATTTATTTATTTCATTATGCAGCATACACATGAGCATTGTGAATCCCCAGCCTTTTGCTTGGAGAACCATGTAGAAATTCCCAGGTTGCAGCGCCATGGCGCGTGAGGGACTCCGCTACTACGAGCTCTCACGGAACGGTGGTCCCCGGCCCCAGCGTCTGCCTGCGGCTTGGCGCAGTGGATTCACCTTGTTTTTTGTATGTTAAAATCGCTTATGAAGGGTAAATATGGGTAAATATCATCTATAAAGATAGGGCAATTTTTGATATCTATATGATATCTATATGTATATGTTCAATGGGTAAATCATCTATAAATTGAGAATTGTCCATTGCTATCTTAAATTGGAGGTAAGCTGTATGTGATATACTGAATATCATGGATTTTGAGCAATAAACAGGTTGATTTTTTCTTCTGCATATATAAGGACAAATTGGGGACCTAGTCAACTTCATACTTGAAAGATTAGGTATATGAAACCAACCATACTGGGATCATGGTGTGTTGGTATGAATCGATAGATAACGATGATACTGTGGAGATTTACATTTTCGGATATCATACTGTGGGTATCAATGGGTTTATTCATTCGGGTTACAGCAATCGGAGCACGGGAATGCCTCTCTTTTTTTGATTGAAATCAATGGTTCGGGATAACGAAAGTGTGTTTGGACACCCATATAGTAGATGAGCCGGAGTACTTCTAGGTTTGGACATACATTGACATATAGTTAGTACATATAGTACTTCTAGTAAACACTTCTAGGTTACTAATTAATCCTTCCTCCTCTTGATATACGTCTCCCAATAGCTGTGTATTTTTTGGGGGACACTGGGGTGAAGGGGCTAATTTTCAGTGGGTTGCCTACTATGATGCTGAGTAGTGGTAAAGGGGGAAAGCATTCCGAGAATGGTGGAATCATGAATAGGTTTTAGTCTCTGGAAAGCTTGACTTGCTGGCTGGGGTTGTTGTAAAGGAGGATGGTGTTATGAGGCGGGAAGCCCCCATTTAAGAAACATGTCATCTACACTCTGTAAGTTTTTTTTTTGTGAACCCGAAAAGAATGATGTTGCCACATCTTGGCACATTGGGGGAAGCATCCCCTGTACAAAACTCACGGAGATTTGGCGACGAGATTCTTGCTGCTTAAAACTTGAGTAACCCACCTGCTGGGAAATTCGGAATCGGTAGAATTGTTGTTTTATTTTGCTGGGCTCCTCCAAGCACAACCAAAAACCTATACAACCGGGGAATTGACAATGGAAGATGTTGAGTTGTGGACGTGAATAGTGGGGGTTCGTGCTGTTGGCTGTCCAGCTCTGATCATTGTTGGGTTCTCTAGCTATAACACCACAGCGTGCACGCATGCGTGATTGAACCTCTCAAACATGACACACTGATTTATACACCCCACCAAAAAAAGTTTTGTAAAAACATGGGTATTGTCAATTACTGTCATCGTTGACAAACATGATGCTATATCGGCTATATCCATACTTATGAGCAAAAATCCTGCACCACGATGGCTGAAATCCTGTAAATCATGGGATGAACATGGATAAACCATCTATCACCCATCCCCGCCTTCCCCTTGGTTCGGATGGTTCGGTGTTAGGACGGCACCTGGGTTCCTGCGCGCTTCTGGGGGATCCATCGCAAAGAGCTGCGCCAGCTCTACGCTGCGAGCTGCGAAGACGAATTCTGGCGAGTTGCTTGGCGCCTGGGGAGGATTTGGGGATTTGAAAGCAGAAAAAATGTGGAAAAATCACCATTTGGTAATGACTAACATAGCTATTGAAAATGGCCCATAGAAATAGTTGATTTACCCATTAAAAATGGTGATTGTCCACAGTTATGTTAGTTTACCAGAGGGTAACGTTTGAAGAACAAGAAATATATGAGGATTCAATAAATTCAAACCTATGCTTAAACCAAGCAAAATGGTGATCTGAATATCACGGGGATATCATTGGATACTCATGTCGGTAATCACCAAATACCAGGGTACTGGGGCCCGATAATCAAGTTTTTAATGCACGATACTGAGCAGTTCATGATTCTTATTCAGGATCATCCAAATCGGTAAGGTGGACCCATTTGTTTGGCGTATGTGGTTTTTGATGCCTTCGAAATGGTATGATTGGGATACTGGGGGGCTGTTGATAAGTTGAATTACTGTAATTGAAGTTGCCACACTACATCCTTAGTGATGTGAGTGGGATATACCTCCGCACTTTTTTTGGGACCCTGTTGTTTGACAAGGGGCTGGATTTTCAGCATTTTTCCCCATGGGATGCCACCTGTGAGTTGCGGCAATGTGTCCCTGTTGGATGATCAACATCTACCGGCTTTCTGCAAATGTCCCACCTGGATCCAGCGGTCTTTGAATGGTGGTAGTTATCTCCCCAATGAATGGGTGATCCATGGTGATTTCAAACTTTATTTGGCTAATGTTCAAGTTTGAAATTTCACAATCAGTGTGTGTTGCAGATGATCTCCACAAATTGTTGTTTCCTATATTCATTTGCCAGCCCAACCGGATACATGTCACCCATTTTGTTTGATTCTTGACAGCAATCGAACTTGATTGACAGCCTGAATCGAATCAGTATATTGATGATTATTGATGTATATTATTGTTAAGGCTTGATGTCGTCTATGTCCCCAATCCAAATTGTTGATCGCCGCCCTTCCAACCCCCAGTTGTCGCTTGAAACCCCCAGTTGCCATTCCTGAATCCCCAAGTCATAGGATCATTTGGACGTCACGGAGTACGTGAATCACTTCGCTACTTGGTGCGGTGCTGGATCTGATTTCTTTGACTTCCACGATCCTGTGATGTTAGTTCCTTAGTGGGGTCCCAATGTTTTTCTTCCAAGTCATTCCTCCATGTGAGGTAAAATGCCCGAATTATACAGACCTCATGCATTCTTATCACCATACAATACCTCTGCTGATAGGATAGAAAACATATGAACACATTGTAGAACATGAGAAGTTCGAACATGTAATCACTCACTGGCCATAAGCTCCGGAATCATCCCAATCAGCTCCAACGTCAAGCCATTTGGGCCTGTATTCGTTGAGGTGAAGCCTCGGACTGCTGGGACTGAGATGGGTTATGCCTTGATGGTGCATCAAGATAACCCACAGGAGGTGAATTTGAACCATGGCTGAAGCGGATGTTGACCCCTAAGAGAATCCAAGAGATTCGGAGCTAGGGATATCTGATGATATCTGGTATTTCCGGGAAATAGGGAGCCAAGAAGCTACGGATAAAGTTTCCGAAGCATGTGATCGTTGATGATGTCCTTGATTTTTGTTGCCTCGAGGCTTGGGGCATGTTTGATTTTCGGATGTTGGAAGTTGGATCTTGGATGTTTGGTGTTTGGGGGGTTGCTTAAAACATCAGGTCATTGGCCAACTCTGAATGATCCAGTTGACCTTTGGCGTTTTTGGTCACCTGGCCTGGCACAGGATGGTCTCACACGCCTGGGTGGAAAATGCCAAGAGCTTCTTTGAGGATGTCTTGAAATCCATGTTCCGCAACGAGGCGCGGGCATTGAAAAGTCACCACAGGACTGGAGAACCGCTCCCCAATAGGATGGTGAGATGGGGCAGCGTTTTGAACATGACTAAGACAATTGGAAAATGGACCCCAAGTCTTCCATAGTCTTCCAGCTACACTTGGCGCCGCATAGGTGTTGAAAGATGCAACTTTCACAGGGATGGCAGAGCTTGTGCAAATCTTGAAGCAACAACCCGGATGAATGATGATGAACGGCTTCCTCAAGAAACGCAATAGTTTGAGGGCATTCCAAAAACATGAGAACATGGTTTCCACAATGGCGGTAAGTTTGATGTTGGCTTGGATTATGTGACACGTGTTGCCCACATCACCTTACCCATTCTTGTGCTTGAGGTATCTCGAGGTTCTATTTCCACGCATTTCATAATTTTGATGACATCCGCGTTATTGTGGCACATTGTTACATATGCCAACCCCCATTTTCTCTCCCTATCTCTTTCGCTCTTTATGTATGCCATTGATGCATCATTTTTGCGGCATGTGTTTTCTGTCTGGTGGATTCAATTATTAATTGTCCAACATTTTCACCATATTAGATAAAATCGTCGGAACTTGCAATGTTCCCCCCAAGTCACTTTGACATTGGGCGCAAATCAACTCGCAAAATTCCACTCCGCACTCCGCACCAGTTTTCTTCCAGCAGAGGTGGCATTCATTTGTTTCCTCTCCAATTTTCAAGGGACGTCTGCAGAGATCGATGCGCAGTCTCTTGGGCCTTGAAAAGGGACGGGTCCTGGGCGATTCGGAATCGGAAGGCGCAGAAAGTAGAACATCTTGGGGATTAGCCTGGTTACTGATTGCTGGTTACCCTTTGGGAACCAAACACAGCCTTGGAAAACGGCAATGTTTATTGGCGATCATTTGAAAAATTAAGTTCCCAGAGGGTGCTTATTTCCCCACATTGACGTGTGGGGTTTTTGTTTTTAGTTCTGTATCCGCTCCTCCTCGTCCTCCTTCCCGTCCTCCCTCCCTCCTCCCTCACTCACTCACTCACTCACACTCAACTCACACTCACTCACTCACCCACCCACTCACTCACTCTCACTCACTCACTCACTCACTCACTCACACACTCACTCACTCACTCACTCACTCACTCACTCACTCACTCACACACACAAACAAACACACACACACACTCACTCTCTCACTCACTCACTCACACACTCACTCACACACTCACTCACTCACGAAATCACTCACTCACTCACTCACTCACTCACTCACTCACTCACTCACACTTTTGCGTGGCAGGCGTGGCACAATGTGCACTGCCAAGGGGTCTGATGTACGCCCTGGCGTCCCTTGGGGCTCCGCCGCTTTTGCGTGGCAGGCGTGGGACAATGTGCACTGCCAAGGGGTTGGGTGTACGCCCTGGCGTCCCTTGGGGCTCCCTCGCTTTTGCGTGGCAGGCGTGGGACAATGTGCACTGCCAAGGGGTTGGATGTACGCCCTGGCGTCCCTTGGGGCTCCGCCGCTTTTGCGTGGCAGGCGTGGGACAATGTGCACCGCCAAGGGGTCGATGTACGCCCTGGCGTCCCTTGGTCTCCGCCTCTTTTGCGTGGCAGGCGTGGGACAATGTGCACTGCCAAGGGGTCGGATGTACGCCCTGGCGTCCCTTGGTCTCCGCCTCGTTTGCGTGGCAGGCGTGGGACAATGTGCACCGCCAAGGGGTCGGATGTACGCCCTGGCGTCCCTTGGTCTCCGCCTCGTTTGCGTGGCAGGCGTGGGACAATGTGCACCGCCAAGGGGTCGGATGTACGCCCTGGCGTCCCTTGGTCTCCGCCTCGTTTGCGTGGCAGGCGTGGGACAATGTGCACCGCCAAGGGGTCGGATGTACGCCCTGGCGTCCCTTGGTCTCCGCCTCTTTTGCGTGGCAGGCGTGGGACAATGTGCACTGCCAAGGGGTCGGATGTACGCCCTGGCGTCCCTTGGTCTCCGCCTTTTGCGTGGCAGGCGTGGGACAATGTGCACTGCCAAGGGGTCGGATGTACGCCCTGGCGTCCCTTGGTCTCCGCCTCGTTTGCGTGGCAGGCGTGGGACAATGTGCACCGCAAGGGGTCGGATGTACGCCCTGGCGTCCCTTGGTCTCCGCCTCGTTTGCGTGGCAGGCGTGGGACAAATGTGCACTGCCAAGGGGTCGGATGTACGCCCTGGCGTCCCTTGGTCTCCGCCTCTTTTGCGTGGCAGGCGTGGAACAATGGGACAATGTGCACCGCCAAGGGGTCGGATGTACGCCCTGGCGTCCCTTGGTCTCCGCCTCGTTTGCGTGGCAGGCGTGGGACAATGTGCACCGCCAAGGGTCGGATGTACGCCCTGGCGTCCCTTGGTCTCCGCCTCTTTTGCGTGGCAGGCGTGGGACAATGTGCACTGCCAAGGGGTCGGATGTACGCCCTGGCGTCCCTCGGGCTCCGCCTCTTTTGCGTGGCAGGCGTGGGACAATGTGCACTGCCAAGGGGTCGGATGTACGCCCTGGCGTCCCTTGGGGCTCCGCCTCTTTTGCGTGGCAGGCGTGGGACAATGTGCACTGCCAAGGGGTCGGATGTACGCCCTGGCGTCCCTTGGTCTCCGCCTCTTTTGCGTGGCAGGCGTGGGACAATGTGCACCGCCAAGGGGTCGGATGTACGCCCTGGCGTCCCTTGGTCTCCGCCTCTTTTGCGTGCAGGCGTGGGACAATGTGCACTGCCAAGGGGTCGGATGTACGCCCTGGCGTCCCTTGGTCTCCATGTGCACTGCCAAGGGGTCGGATGTACGCCCTGGCGTCCCTTGGTCTCCGCCTCTTTTGCGTGGCAGGCGTGGGACAATGTGCACTGCCAAGGGGTTGGATGTACGCCCTGGCGTCCCTTGGTCTCCGCCTCTTTTGCGTGGCAGGCTGTGGGACATATGTGCAACTGCCAAGTGGTCGGAATGTACGCCCTGGCGTCACTGGTCTCCGCCCTTTGTGCTTGGCAGGTGTGGTAACCGTTTGAGCAAGGCCAAGGGTTCGAGTACGCCCTGGCGTCCCTTGGTCTCCGCCGCGGTTGCCGTGCAGGCGTGGGCCAATATGCACCGCCCAAGGGGTCGGATGTACGCCGCTGGCGTCCCTGGTCCTCCGCCTGTTTTGCCCCGTGCAGCCGTGGGACAATGTACACTGCCAAGGGGTCGGATGTACGCCTGGCGTCCCTCGGGCCCTCGGGCTCCGCCTCTTTTGCGTGGCAAGCGTGGGACAATGTGCACTGCCAAGGGGTCGGATGTACGCCCTGGCGTCCCTCGGGCTCCGCCTCTTTTGCGTGGCAGGCGTGGGACAATGTGCACTGCCAAGGGGTCGGATGTACGCCGGCGTCCCTTGGGCTCCACTTCTTTTGCGTGGCAGGCGTGGGACAATGTGCACTGCCAAGGGGTCGGATGTACCCCCTGGCGTCCCTCGGGCTCCGCCTCTTTTGCGTGGCAGGCGTGGGACAATGTGCACTGCCAAGGGGTCGGATGTACGCCCTGGCGTCCCTCGGGCTCCGCCTCTTTTGCGTGGCAGGCGTGGGACAATGTGCACTGCCAAGGGTCGGATGTACGCCCTGGCGTCCCTCGGGCTCCGCGTCTTTTGCGTGGCAGGCGTGGGACAATGTGCACAGCCAAGGGGTCGGATGTACGCCCTGGCGTCCCTCGGGCTCCGCGTCTTTTGCGTCGCAGGCGTGGGACAATGTGAGCTGCCAAGGGGTCGGATGTACGCCCTGGCGTCCCTCGGGCTCCGCGTCTTTTGCGTGGCAGGCGTGGGACAATGTGAGCAGCCAAGGGGTCGGATGTACGCCCTGGCGTCCCTTGGTCTCCGCCTCTTTTGCGTGGCAGGCGTGGGACCATGTGAGCAGCCAAGGGGTCGGATGTACGTCCCTTGGTCTCCGCCTCGTTTGCGTGGCAGGCGTGGGACCATGTGCACTGCCAAGGGGTCGGATGTACGCCCTGGCGTCCCGTTGGTCTCCGCCTCTTCTCACTCACTCACTCACTCACTCCCTCCCTCCCTCCCTCACTCACCCGCTCACTCACTCACTTCACTTCACTTCACTTCACTTCATTTCACTTCACTCACTCCCTCACTCACTCACATACATCATCATCATCATCACCATCATCATCATCATCATCATCATGTGCCAGCGATGTTTACCAGCCACAGGGCATGCAGAAAGAGATCACAAAATGTGCGGCTGCGCTCGAAAGAGTGCAGAACATTACTTTGGTCAGCGGAAGTATGGTGAGCACACCATCGTTTTGATAGTGTGTCGGAAAAAAAACATCAGAGCCTGGTGGAACTCGATGAAAGCGAAGCAACTTACTCACAAACAACTTACCCTACGTACATACATACATAGATACCTAAATACATACACCTACCTACCTACCTACCTACATACATACCACCATCGTCCCTCCATCACTCTTATCCTTCCTCTTCCCTTCTCGCTTTCTGTGCTCCGTCTAAGTCTGTTTCTTCACTGAGGTCGATGCCTTCGTCCTTACCAAACGGTTCGGCTTCGGTCGAGCCGACACCACGTTGGCCGGTGGTGGGGACGTTAATGGGAGGCTTCACACTCACTCACACTCACTCACACTCACTCACACTCACTCACACTCACTCACACTCACTCACATTCACTCACATTCACTCACTCACTCACTCACTCACCTACCTCACCTACCTCACCTACCTCACCTACCTCACCTACCTCACCTACCTCACCTACCTCACCTACCTCACCTACCTCACCTACCTCACCGACCTCACCACCTACCTCACCTCACCGACCTCACCTACCTCACCTACCTCACCTACCTCACCACCTACCTCACCTACCTCACCTACCGCACTCACTCACTCACACCACTCACTTCACTTCACTTCACTTCACTTCACTTCACTTCACTTCACTTCACTTCACTTCACTTCACTTCACTTCACTCACTTCACTCACTCTCACATCCCTCACTCACACACACCACACTCGCATCACTCACTCACACTCTCACTCACTCACTGTACATGAACATACATACATACACACAAACTCACCCACCATCACCGCTCCATCACTCTTATACTTCCTCTTCCCTTCTTGCTCTTCTATGGTCAGTCTAAGTCTAAAGAAGTTGGTAACATGTGGGGTTATCCGGTCCTTTAATTTTGGAAGCCGGGTTCATCTGGTTCATCTCTGGGTGATTCCGCAGGGGGACCAGCATTCACCTTGTTGGTAAAAAAATAAGACCCCTGGCAACTCAAATTGTCAGGAAATGTTCACAGAAACGCGCACCATCTCATGCCCACCTTGTTGGCGCTTGAATAGTTCAGCCCGCGATTCAACGGTCTAGCATGGGGATGTTGTCTGTACAAACCTTGAACCTTGGTGTTGGCCATGGTCAAATTCCAGTTCTTGGATTCTTGGTACAGTATCCGCACAGACTTGTGCGATCAATACATACAATCAATACTGTACCATTCAACATCCATGTTTGGGTGATTTTGGGTGTGGGTCAAATTTTGGAACCATACAGAGGGCGACTGTATCATCCTATGTATTTGGGCTACTCAACAACGACCTATAATGATAATTAATTATTGTAATGTAGGACCCGGTCATGGAAGGTCAAACGCTTTTGCCGCATGTGGAGCATTGTTGGGCGAACCAAGGCTTGGGAATGACATCATGTGGCTTGGTTGCCAGCCTCTGCAAGTTCGAGAGTTCATGGGAATTCCATGTTAGAGATGGAGATTGAGTCGTGGGATGATCTCTCCGAATACTAGTAAATGTCGGATACCAGACTGATAGATTTCCACATTCCACAGATTTCCTCCGTGACTAATGACTGGTGTCAAGTTTGGCTCTAGCACCTTGTGTGACCTCCGCGAAACCATGTCAGGCCCCAGCCTTGTGGCGTTTGCTCTGTGTTTTTGATGTGGTTGTTCTCGTTTAATGTGAGTAAAACAATAATATACAATAATAAACCATCCCCCAAATCACCATAAATAGGTTGTAACCATTCCCAAATGGGTGGTTTATTATAGTTTTACCCACATTACTCGTTTACGCCGTTGATGGATCTTGATGGGCCGTGTTTTTTTTTGGCTGTTTTCACAAGCATCGGAATGAGACTCAGCGTGAGTATCCTCATTATCATCATCCTCACCTTGAGCCTTGTCCTTGACTCCCCCCTCCAATTTTTTTTTACTTCGAGTGATCCCCACCATGGCATTTCAAGACATGTTTGGACATATATTCCGACATTTTACCTAACATTCTATCTGACATCTATTCTGACATTATTTTTGGCATTCTATTTGTCATATATTCTGACAGTCTATCTGAGATATATTCTGACATTCTATGTGGCATTCTATCTGACATATATTCTGACATTCTATCTGTCTGTCTGGGGCTTGCTGTTCGGGTCCGGCAGAACACTGCGATCTTGCGCTTGCAGTTGGGGTCCGACGGGGAACACTCTGATCCGGAGCTTGCTGTTCGGGTCCGGCAGGGAACACTGCGATCTTGCGATTGCAGTTGAGTCCGGTGGGGAACACTCTGATCCTGAGCTTGCTGTTCGGGTTCGGCAGGGAACACTGCGATCTAGCGCTTGCAGTTGAGGTCCGGCAGGGAACACTGCGATCTAGCGCTTGCAGTTGAGGCCCGGCGCGGATCGCTCTAATCCTGAGCTTGCTGTTCGGGTCCGGCAGGGAACCCCGCGATCTAATCTCTTCATTTTCAATGATGCTTTTGCAAGCTCTTCTCAATATGCCTTGGTGGACGTTGGTCGGCCTGAGCTTCATGAACGTGGGGCCCTTGGGCTTTGCAACTTCAGTGGCTTCAGCAGCACCTGCGCACTGCGAGGGCTGCGACAGCTATACGCCCGTGATGGGGAGTCACGTGACCGTGCGCGCCTTGAAACGTGAAGACACCGAGATGTACGACGTGAGTGTGTGACCGGCAGCAGCAAAGACAGGGCTTCAGAATGGAGAAAAACTGGTAAACCATCGATGTACTGGAAACAACGCCGCCAAAATCTAGTTTTCACTATGTTCTGAGCACATACTTGATCTGTGTGTCGACACACACACATATATATATAATCCCCTCAACTACTTGGGGTCTTGGATGGGTACCCCTTCAGGACTCCTGTATGAAGGGTCTTTTCTATGTTCATACCCAAAGTAGACCCTGCAACATGAGGCATCCAAGACCCCAGGCTATTCAGGTTAACTTTTGCCCTGTGTTGCCGATGTTACTCCAGGTTATGCCGGCTTGGAATTTTGAATTTGTGTTTAGACCCTTGGTATCACATGCGCCCAGCTCATCCCAGTTCACCAGGGATATTGAGCCCCCAAATCCCATGATTTAGGATCGCGTTCACTTTTCTCTTGTAACCCTTTGTTGCCTCCGTCTTTGCTTGCTTTCCCTCTTCTGCCAAATGCGTCAAAATCCTCATGCCTTTCTTGCAGGAGGCCAGCGTCATGGGGTCTGGAACGGTGTGACTGTACGTGGGGTGGGCGCCAAAAACACATAGCCTTTCCAATGACATCATAGTAGACCCAAGGTACTTGGTAGAAGCCTATCTTTCTCACTGCCTATTCATGTCTACCTTACGGTTTCTTTGAAATCCAGCTACCAATCATTGAGTTCTATCATCATAGACCGTTCCAAAAACTGTTGCATTGCTCGTTTGCAGAATAGATGAAATAAGGAGACTCTAGAAATGCGACGGCAAAAAGTGGCTGTTTGTTGCTGGATGTGAGAGGGGCGTGACCAGAATCAAAGACACAGGACCCAGGGGATCCTTGTCTGGAAAGTTGGCATAAAATCCCATCCTCCAAATGTTAAATACCATGATGTGGGTCTCAAAATGAACAGGCCCTAATACAAAGCTAGGTATTTTCTAATCAGTTGGGTATAGTTCCTGGAAATCTGCAAATATATAGTTCCTGGGTCCAAAAGCCAGAAAACAGAAAGGCCCAAATAAAGAGGCCAACGCCAACAGTAACCCATATGACAGAATTGGTTATCTCCCACTTCTGCCATTTAAGGCGGAGTCCTTTCACGCAAGTGCTCAACAGCTCCGCGTGTCAACGTTTGTTGGTAGTCGCTTCAGCTGCAGAATGCCGAAGAGCTTGACACAAGGTTTTGGGTAAACATTGTCATTGGGTTGGTTTAAGGTAACGTTTGCAAGAACCCAATGTATTATTTGATGGAAAAAACGAGTTTTCTTGTAGATGATCCCTTTAGACCAATCCATTGACATTGGAGTTGTTATTTGATAGTTTATCTTAGCTTTCTTTTTGGCCATTAATGGGGAATTGTCATGGAATTTCATTAAACAATTGCTGCGCGAATGCAATGCAATTTCAGGGTAGGCATGAATGCTATGTCCATGTATCAAGCCTTGGCTGCGACATAAAAGCCTAGGGATCATTCCATTTCTCAGGGCAGGTCCCTCCAGGCCCTCCAGAATTCAGGACCCGTGTTGGGGAACATTAAAGTCTTCATGTAGTAGGATATTCGATGACTCTTGGCCACCCAAGGATTTTTTGCCCTGGCCACCCAAGGATTTTTTGCCATGGCCATGATGATCTTTGGGTATGGGTCCAATTCAGGTAAGCCACGAATGGGATGGCGGCCTTCAATTTCGATCTTTACCCATGAAATGCGTGGATCTTTCACCCTGTTTACACCAAAGATGGTCCCAGCCACAGCCGCCTAGAAATTCCAAAGCTCAATTCATCCGGCTGATTCTTCAGCAAGAGTGCTCCCCACTAAGGTGCCAAATGAGGAGTTGAAGACCAACGGGCAAGGGTTGTATAGCAGGCTATGGTGCATTTGGGAAATC